GTGTAAGCAAAGCGCGTATATTTATGCTTCAGGTCGACGATATTCACTTATTAATTATTAATTTAATAGCTTTTGGATTTTTATAGTTCTCTCTGGGAAGTTGCGAGTGGTGAATCTATAGTAGTCCACAACTGTGTACTACCAACCGTACCTAACGTGACACAGGCGTTTGATAGGCGTAACGAGAATATAAATATATAGTCTAGACACTTCTATCAACCGAGTGATATAGGTGTCTAACCTATAAATATTCACCTATATAAATGCGTCCTTGATATAGAAAATATCATAATCTAGGAGATGTCTTTAACATACAGGTATTTAACATACTGACATACAGGTATGAAGACGTTTAGGTACCTATACGTAAGTTAGGTAAGGTTAGGCATGAGGTACGTGCACTACATAAATACATAACCCTGGTAATTAAGAAATATTCCAAGTACCGTATACCTTGCTCTCCCCCAGATATGACCGGGTTCTTGAGTATCCCGGTACATGCAAATGATCAAGTGGATCGAGGCTGAATATCCTAACCAATCATAGTTAGCAAAGCTTGTGATTGTCGCGAGTTCCTTACCTCCCAGTCCAACTTTTTCGGCGCCCCAAACCTTCGTACACTTGCTGTCGCCGCTGAAAATCCAAAAAGTTACCGACCTCACTCATCACCACCATCACCACCTTCCCCATACCTAACATTTCTACAGGCAAACGGCCGTCTGCCCCGAGTTTGCATCTTCGTAGGTCGTGCCAATATCAATTCTTGATACATTGTTCATTTTAGATACCCGTTCTGTTCATTTGCCATTGAACTTACGACTAGTTATCCGTCGTCGTCGAGCCACCTGGCCATCTCGAGGTCTTCATATACGCGCCTCATATCCGACTATCCTTCCTCCTCCTCTACGATCCATACCCTATAGCAACCCCCGTTGACGGCTCTCAGGCTACGGCAACTCCTTCTCGGCACATCTTCGACATCCCTCATCACCCCGGAGACTGATTGTCCATGGCTGTGAGTGCTTGTTCTAATTGTTTCCCATTCACACACGCATGATCCGCACACCGTAGGACGGATGGAATGGTTTCCTATTTAAATTTCAAGAATCACTTTTGAACTTATTACTTGAATTCCACCTTCCCAAAAATTACCATCAAAATATTCGAATACTTTCGTAATGTCCCACATCATTCCTCCTCCCAAAAACGTCATGGCGCCTCCTAGTGGACCTGAAGCTTCTATGCTTCAACAGCCTCATCCGTTTCATTTACCACCTCCACCTCCTCTGCCGCTGCCGTTGCCGCTGCAGTTACAGCTACAGCAGCAGCAGCAACAGCAGCAGCAGCAGCAACTACAGCCCTTCCCACTGCAACACTTTCCCGCTATCCAGCACTGCCAACACTGCCAAAACTGTGAGCACTGCCAGCAGCATCAGTATCAGCATCACCAGCACCAGCATCGCATCATGCTGCCTCTCCAACAGCACGGCTTGCAGGACGGAGCAGCTTTCATGATGAATATTCCAGTCCCCCCCAATCTGCCCAACAGCCAGTCTCACGACCAGCATCGCGCTACTGGTCGCTTTCACAACACTATCTTTGGCGGTAGTGATCGCCCTCACCAGCAGTTGCCAGGTGGTGTTCAGTTACCTCGCCTACCTCACTATGGTCACCAACTCATTCCAAAAGCTAGAAATGATCTTCGATCACTCACGGCTAACAGTTCTCAGCAACGCTCTTACAACAGCCAAGGCTATATGCCCAACGGCGCTCCCAGTAGCCATCCGAACCCTGGCCAACCTGCGCCCGGTGCTGTTCCTCTTCTACCCAACCAAGGCCGAGTTGTCCAGTCCGGACCGATTCGAGTTCTTTGCATAGCCGACGTACGAGGTAAGATAAACTTGTTAATTTTGATTAGTAGTGGGATGAAGCTAATAGTTCCCCGATAGGTAATCTGCGATCTTTAAACGAACTTGCGAAGACAGCGCGAGCCGATCATATTATTCACACCGGAGACTTTGGTTTCTACGACGACACATCCTTAGAGCGCATTGCGGAGAAGTAAGATTTGGACCTGTTATTTTGATTTTATGGGTTGAACGGTATTCTAACTGTATTATGAAATAGGACTTTGAAGCATGTCGCCCAGTACTCGCCGTTGATCTCCGAGGAAGTCAAGAAGGGTATCAGTCAAGGTGGACCCGGCTCAGTTAAGGCGCGATTTAACCCTCAGGATCTACCCTTGTCCGAACTGCCTATGCTCATCAGCGGACAAATCAAACTCGAAGTTCCGGTTTACACTGTTTGGGGTGCCTGCGAAGATGTACGCGTGCTGGAGAAATTCCGATCTGGCGAGTACAAGGTACCGAACTTGCACATTATTGATGAAGCTCGATCCATGCTCTTGGAAATCGGCGGCGTCAAGCTGCGACTACTTGGCCTTGGCGGTGCGGTTGTCATGCACAAGCTGTTTGACAATGGCGAAGGCCGAACTACTATTGCAGGTGGACAAGGCACTATGTGGACTACTCTGCTGCAGATGGGCGAGCTGGTTGATACTGCGAACCGTGTTTATGACCCTACGGAGACTCGCATCTTCATTACGCACGCCTCTCCCGCTCGCGAAGGTATACTAAATCAGCTATCGGTTAGCCTCAAGGCGGACTTTTCTATTTCGGCCGGCCTACATTTCCGATACGGTAGCTCTTATAACGAATTTAGCGTTAACCCAACTCTGGATCACTACCGTGGCAAGCTTGCCGCCTCTAAAGCCTCGTTCAGCGACGTATGGGAGACTGTCAAAGGCGAAGTTGAGCCGGCAATCCAGCAAAATGAAGCCCAGCAGAACTTGCTTAGGAACGCACTTGAGCTGGTCGACAAGATGCCTAGAACCGCAGCTGGTGGAAACCCCTTTGGTGGCCCGGTCGGCGGTCCCGGCGCACAAGGTCAAGTTGATGAAAGTGCTTTCAAGAATATGTGGAATTTCAACTTGGCAGACGCCGCATTTGGCTGGTTAGCTCTGGAGATTCAAGATGGCCGCATTGGTACGGAAATGCGAGCACAGGGTTTCAACTTTTCGCACCGTGGGGCCAAGCAACAGACTGTCATACCTCAGGGCACACCTTCACCGGCGGCTGGCGGTAGCGGTCTACCCCCCGCTGCTCCCGCGACTTCTGTGACGCCTGCACCCCCCGTCGCCGGTTCTCAAAGAAACGCCTCAGCTGCGGCGCAACCTTCGAAGCCTGTCGCAGCCACTCCTCTCCAACCACCTAAGCCAGCCACGCCTAAGCCAACAACCTCATCCCCAGCTCCTAGCACGGCTGCCGGAAAGGAGAACGACAAGCCCACAGGTACTAATGGATCGACCAACGGACCGGAAACTGTACCGTCGCCGGCCCCTCGGGCTTCTGCGGATAGCATCATCGGGCTCTTCGTAATGAACGTCCAGAGTGACGAGCAAACTCGGGAGATATTCCCTGAGGAACACAAGGCCAAGATCGCCAAGATCGAGAAGTGGGGAAACAACAGCAACAATAAGGTTGTTCATTTCCATAGTATCGAGGATCGAGAGGCTGCTTACTCCAGTCTCGCCGACGAATTCAAGGTCCGCCATTCCGAGGACCGATCGAGACCCCTAGTGAAGATATTCCAACCCCGCGAATCCAAGCAGACATTTGGCGGCAGAAGCGCAGGAACCTGGGGTAGTGGCCGTGGAAGAGATAACGCAAGCGGATACCGAAGCGCCGGCGACCGCGGTACTCTCAGCGGTGGTGAGAGCGGTCCCGAGACTGGTCGCCAACGTGGTGGCCGCGGTGGAGCGCGAGGAGGCCGAGGCGAGCGTGGCGGCCGGGGTGGTAGGGGCGGCCGTGGAGGAATAGGTAAAGGCGAGGGTGGTAGCGCCTCTCCGGCTCCCGGTGGCGATTCGTAAAGAGCTCGTCTGACGTAACGGCACTACCCACTTTGTCACCTATATTCTACTAATGACCTCGCGTGGCCGGGCGCGAGATAACTACTTTTTTTTGCTTGTATTCTGGCACATCCTTTCCGCGAAGCACAACTTTTCTGTCGTTACCCAGGTGGAGTTCAGAGAATCTGTCGGCCTGCGAAGGGAAGAGTTTCGGAGTGAAAAGAAAATACCAAGTGTCGTTTTCGTCATATTGAAGGGGGAAGGGGGAGTGAGACGAGGCCAGGGGTTTTAACGGTTGAACGGACGAACGGACGAATGTATATGGTTTGCACCGACGTAAATCTGCCAACGTACTTCGTACGAACGTTCTTCGTTTCTCTCTCGGTGACCTAACCTACTGAGATGGAAAGTTTTTTTTTTCTTCGCGCTGATACTGATGGCTGGCTCGTATGATGATTCAATCTATGGAGCATGTTCGTAGGGGCATGCCCTGAACTTGCCCAGCCTAGTCCGGACTGAAACAGACCAGACAGGATCGGATTGGATCGGACGTTGTTATAGGCCTTTGCTAATACAACCGAATGAATTGAACTCGGAAAAGTTATGATGTTTGTGCCACTGCTTGTAGGAACTAAGGACTGGTCTAAAGGGGTCATAAGTCGTAGATATGGTGGAGAGAGGCCTCTTTCGGTAGATTTAAGTAGGGGATCTATACTTAAGCCGACGTAAGTGAGTCCATGAACAACACGAGGACTCGTAGGGCGAACCGTGCCATTAACAAGCCTCAGGGGCTTTTCTCCTTGCTATTAACCTAACGGCGTGCAATGGTTATGTCGCGTATGCTACCTAAAGGGGGGAATCTACAAGCTACGCGCACTTGCGCTGATGAATTATGGTACAATAAACCGAGACACTAGTCCCTTGCTGAATTTCGTGCAAACCCTTTTTTCTACCTGGCCTCAATGCCGTCACGGGCCTATTTTCTCTACGGAGTAAATACAGAACATTGGTAGTAGTAGTGTACAAAGGTCTTCCTCTCCTCTCCATATCTCGATCTGTATACAAGCGGGGACCCGGACGAGATCAGATCAGATTACAGGGGCTTCATACCCTTGTGGATCGCAGCCACACCACCCGTCAGATCTTCCCAGCCCTGGCCGCCAACGACAAAGCCGGCGTCTTTAATCATATCGCGGAACTGGGACTGGCTGGGGAACCGCTCGATGCTCTCGACGAGGTACTGGTAGGAGTCGCGGTCGCCGGCAACGAGATGGCCGATGAGGGGGATGGCGCTGAAGCTCCAGCGCTTGTATACGGCGTCGAGGAGGGGGTTGGCGACCTTGCTGAACTCGAGGCAGGCGAACACGCCGCCGGGCTTTAGGACGCGGTGGGCTTCGGCCAGGGCGGCGGGGATGTTGCTGAAGTTGCGGATGCCGAAGGCGACGGTGTACAGGTCGAGGGAGGCGTCGGGGACGGCGGCGGGGGAGAAGGAGGTGGCGTCGGCTTCGAGGAAGGAGAGGGCGGCTTGTTGGGAGGCGGGCAGGGAGAGGGAGCGCTGCTTGCCGACTGCTAGCATGGAGGGGTTGATGTCGGAGATGGTGACGTGGACGTCGGGGTTGCGGTTCAGCACGTGCGCGTGGTGTAGCATGCGGAAGGCGATGTCGCCTGTGCCGCCGGCGACGTCGAGGATGCGCTGGGGTTTGGGGGGGACGGAGGAGGAGAGGCCGGGGTTGAGGGAGGAGACGAAGTGGTCCCTGGGGTGGTGGGATGGGGTGGTCAGCTTAAATTCTGCAGGTGAGAAAAAAGGAAGGGCTGGAAAAAAAGAAGGGAGGACTAGGGAGAAGGGGAAAATAGGTACGCACTTCCAGACGCGGTGCCAGCCAAACGACATAAGATCGTTCATGCGGTCGTAAGACTCGGCTACGCTGTGGAAGACGCCGGCCACGCGCTCCGTCTTCTCGGACTCGGAGAGGCCGTCTTGGAAGCCGAAGTGTGTTGTTGTACTATTTCTGCTGGTGGTGGTGGTAGCGCCATTATCGGTGGTGGAATGTGCTGCTTGGGAGGTAGAGGTAGGAGTAGAGTTCGTTGTGCTGAATAGTCGGGCGTGGCGGCGGGGGGGAGAGCAAAAGGCTGGTCTTGATGATACTCGTATAGCTGCGCGCAGGATCGGTTGCGGGCGGGCGGCCATGGTTCTGCTGCGCTGTTTTCGGCCGTCGCCTTGGTTCGAGGGGGGTGTCCTGGGGAGGTGTATGTTAGAAGCGGTAGTTAGCTAATTGAGTACCTAGGTATATAAATAAGTAGGACTGGTAGGAGGTAAAAGACGGCCGGCCCGCTCGAGGTGAAGGTACGGGCTGACGGGTTAGAAAAAAAATACTGCGGATCGGACGGGTTGATTGATCGCCGTTCCCCATGTGCCTATGTACATGGAATATGTGGGGGTCACTCGGGCGGCTTCCGCGAAGGAGCACTAGCCACAGTGGGTGGGCTGGCCCTATTAGACTTGACCTCTTTGGGATATAAATCCCGATATCTGGGGCTAGGATGTTGGGCTTGACGCCAAGACTTTTAGTTTTGGCGTCTAGGGTAGGTATTTTTTGAGATGATTGGCTAAAATAGTCCATTCCATCCCATCCATCTACCCATCTTCAATGGCATCACCTATGTATGTACATATATCTGGGACACGTGCTTCCCGCAACGAGCAAATATAGAGGCATGAATGAAAAAGAGCTCCTATACATATAAGGTAGGTAAGTAAGTACTTACCTCGTTAAACCGCAACAGCAGCGTCGGTAGAGTCTCGCGCCAGCTGCTCCTGAGCCGCGTATCGCTGTGCTCGCATGTGGGCTTGATGCTCCGTCGAGCGCTTCATCAGCGAGGCGAACTTCTCGGATAGCGAGTAGCCCCAACATATCAGGATTGCGATGAGCGGGACTAGGATCATGACTACGATGCCGATGACGGTGGCGTCGTTCATCGTCGACACTTCCTCCCGAGGATAGTGGTGCTTTGGGTTGGGGATTTGGGGTGGTTGATTTGTTGTTTGGAGTTGGATGTTATGTTATGATGCTGTATGTAAGGTAAATATGATACGGAGGGAGAGCGGCACGGTGAAGCTTTGGTTTTTTTATGTATTCTCTGTTTGAAAAGTTTGCTATTTTGACATGATTCACGCGGTAGAGAGCTGTTGCTATGGTAGTGTATACATTGAGGGTCGCCATGCAGACCCGACTTCGTGCACATCGTTTCTCGAGCGACGGCAATGTTGGCGGTGTCACTTCGTACCTAAGGTACCTAACGTATATGTTGGGTGACCTTAATTCTTAAGTGCGTTATTTGTTATTTATTTACGAATAATTGTATCCTTTGCTCGTACTCGGACTTGATTGTTTATAGGTATTGTTACATGGCTAGGTCTCTGAGGCACGGTATTGTCTTTTCTAATGGAAAGTAATAGTAAATGTTTTGGAGGAGTTGACAACATAATATGACAGTCCTCGGAGGTTTTATATAAGGTCTATTGTTTTCTGATATAGACTAACTACTATAAATTAACTCTATTTCTTTCACATTGTGGCTAAATAACAATAGCTTTCCTAGGCTTGTAATGGGACTTGAAGCTTCCAAGGTTAACCGCTTGTTGAATGCAGTCTAGTATTACGTAATCCTATAGTACCTGGTTTTGGGAGAAGTCATTTTATGCTTGGGCTTATGTAATAAATTCGAAAAGCTGGGGAAGCTGGGAAGTTAGCTTTCCCTCGGTCTAGACCCTTCGCTTTTCGCCGGCTTAAGTGACGTCTTTACATAGCCTCGGAATCCCGTCTTACCTAGAGGCTAGAATGTCGGGGGAGTGACTATGGGGTCAACTCTTTACTACAGAGTCTTACTTCCTCACTATATACGAGGCCCAATTGCAATTTGCACTGGTGAATAATCTATAAGATGCTATAATCTAGCTATAATGAGGTCACAAGTACTTTCTCGAGCGTCGCTACGAAGGGCTGCGGGCTCTGTACTCCGCGCTTCCCGCTCTCCCACTTTCCAACAGCCTGCTCGGTTAGCTAGTGGCATATCGCAACGCCAAGGGGCAAGCCATGTATCTTTTCCTGGCGCCGTGAAGAGCGCATTCACCAGCGATCTTAAATTTGTTGTACCCTCCGATTACCCTGCCTTAGCGACATACCGAGCGGTCGACCAAGATGGCAATATCGTCGACAATTCATTCAAGCCGGATCTTAGCGACGATGAAGTTATAAAGCTGTATAAAGATATGTTAACCGTCTCAATAATGGATCCGATCATGTTCGACGCGCAGAGACAGGGTCGTATAAGCTTTTACATGGTGTCGGCCGGCGAAGAAGCTATTAGTGTCGGATCTGCTTCAGCACTAGACCCACGGGATGTTATATTCTGCCAATACCGTGAGCAGGGGCTCTTCGTGCAGCGTGGATATACCTTAAAAGACTTTATGAACCAGCTCTTCGCAAATAAGCACGACTTGGGGAAGGGTAGAAATATGCCCGTACACTACGGAAGTAAAGAGCTGAACATCGTATGTTATGTTATGCCTAGGTGTTTATATCTTATTGGTTCGTTCCTAACCTTTTTTGTATAGCATACAATTTCATCGCCTCTAGCAACGCAGATACCACAAGCTGCTGGAGCTGCGTATGCCCTTAAAATGCAACACATCAATGACCCAACTGTACCTCCCCGCGTGGCTACTGTCTACTTTGGCGAAGGTGCTGCCAGTGAAGGAGACTTCCATGCGGCATTGAATATCGCTGCAACACGGTCCTGTCCCGTTATCTTTATATGTCGGAACAATGGCTACTCTATCTCAACACCGACCTTAGAACAATACCGAGGCGATGGCATTGCCAGTCGAGGGATAGGGTACGGGATTGACACTGTGAGGGTAGATGGGAACGACCTGTGGGCAGTTAGAGAGGTTATTAAGAAAGCTAGAGAAATGGCCCTTCAAGATGGAGGCAAGCCAGTCCTTGTAGAGGCAATGAGCTATCGTGTTAGCCACCATAGCACGTCCGATGACTCTTTTGCGTATCGAGCGCGAGTTGAGGTTGAAGACTGGAAACGCCGGGACAACCCTATCGCGAGGCTACGGAAGTATATGGAGGCAAAGGGATTCTGGGACGAGTCCAAAGAGAAAGAAGCTCGGGAGATCATCAGGCGGGATGTGCTAAAGGCGTTTTCGGAGGCAGAACGAGAAAAGAAGCCGCCTATCCGGACTATGTTTGAAGATGTTTACGAGGAGCTGACCCCGGATCTGAAAGCCCAGATGGAGCAGCTGAAACTCCATCTCGAGAAGTACCCTGACGAGTACGACTTTGCCGAGTATGAAGACGGCATTGACAGCTTAAAATCATGAATAAATTATTACGATTAGGGGGTTACGTACCCTTCAACATCAGGAAGAGAAGCATCTGTATCTGTATATAATTTGGAGGTTGCAAATGGATTTCTCATAGCTGCATTTAGAAACACCGAATATATAGATTGGAATTGCAAAGAATACATGAATGATTATGGGTATATGACAAAAGTTTCTGTCTACTGATTGGTAGACATAGAGAGACAACCAACGCTTATCAGCCACGTTAGACAAAGAAATGGAGCATGTCGAATTTTTATAGTATATTTCATATAATTTCGCCAATTAGGTCGAGTTAGGGAAACATACAGGTTTCTCTTAATTTGTCAGATCTACTTATATGAAGGATTTATAGTAGTTATGTATTATGAATGTGTTGAGTTGTAGACTACTTAGGTAACCTAAAGTGTGGAAAGAAAGTTGGAAAAAAAACCCCCCGGTGATGTCATCGGTTAACCTAGTGTTGCCTAAATATCGAAGCACAAGCATTAGGTCATTATAAATATTATGTAACTGCCTACTTATACATAAGTGTGTACATAGTGTAATTTAACTTTGACTCGTAAAGATAACATTGAGATAAGAACATTATGTAGACAGTTTAAAAAGAGCCGCAAGAAGTGAATTTTTATATTGATAATCCAAGGGCTCAACATTATCGCTTGGTGGGCATCACATACATATGGACATACTAGGTACATATACCAAAGCAGTAAAGACCTAATCACACCCCTGCTCATCACTTCTCACCTCATCAGAATACCAGAATACACTACTTTAGTAGGTAAGTTCATGTATATGCACGTATCTTTACCAGGTCCCTTGTAACAAACAGTACATCCCTGCATGCAGTGCTTTTAATTGAGTGCCACTATCGACACACCTGTTACGCCATCAATAAAGCATCACTAGCGTACACGCCCTACCCGCACGAACTGCTACAGGGTCTTATAGTAGTGTACATAGTACGGCTACAGACAGCCTGGCTTCGGGTCTACTATGGTCTGTATGGTTTAAGTACAATACGGATTACCTACCACACACCCGCACAACCAGACAACCCACCCTACCTTTCGCCCAACCATCTAGCCGCCCGCCGACGCATTCGAATGAACCTCCTCCGATAGAACCTCCAACTCCGTCTCAAAGCTTTGACTACAACAACTTTACCGTCTCGGTTCCATCATTTCTATTGCTCGAACTGTGACAGCATCGACGGCTCGTTAGTCGCCTTCCTGTATATCGAGTCGAACAACGTATTGAATTGAATTAGTATCCTTAGTATCCTTCCCATTAATCCATCTCGACCGACGTCTCGTTTCCACTCCTATTCCCAAGTTCCCACGAGTACCTTAGTGTTAAAGGCAGAAGAAGAATAAGAAAAAAAGAAGAAGAAGGTTGAGCGCGTGGCCAAGGTCTCGAACTCATCAGAAAAAATCAATCGCCGCCGTGCCTCATGGCGTAATCCATGGCAGAACGAAAACCCTTTGCTGCCAACCCGCGCTCTCGATCGGCAGTCGATAACGATCCTCAAGCGCGACTTCCTTCTATTACAGATTTAAATCTCAACTTAAACTCGAACTTGCGATCGGCCGCTCCTGCCTCGTCGCCGTTCTCCTTATCCCCCAGGTACGATACACATATAGTTCCAAACAGCATTACATACATCTACGTATATACCTTCTCCTACACTCACATACCTACCTAAATCTACCTACACCTTAATCAACCTACACTATACGATACCTTGGTACAACACAACGAGTACCACTTTATTTTTTTTTTCCTTCCCGTATCAGGTCTGATTGCTTTTCAAACCTCCTTCTACCAGCCTAACAGTTACCCCCCAAGTTGCCTGTCTATTCATCGCTCCTCCTCTTATCATATTTCTTCTACTTCGTTGTCAATTGTTCCCTCCTTTAATACTTCGTCACCAATACATGCGTCTAGGCTAGTGCCTCGTGGTTGACAATCACATTTTCGAGGGAGGGGTATGAGTTGTGGTCTTTCAAGATTATTTGTATTTTGATGCCTCGATTCGTACCTAGGTACAATACCCTCTTTGTGTTGTTGCCCCGGTCACAGCAATCCACCTCCAGTCAACGTCGTTGGTTGCTATGCTAGTTGTCACCAAGGCAGCCAAGCACAACTCATGACTGTGTAGAGGTGCATTTGACGGTGCTTGCAACTCGTTGACAGATTTAAAACTTAAATCTGGTTACGAGAGCTATCCTACTGTCCCACTATCAAAACTTCCCGAGGCGAGGCTTATCAAAACACTCTCGCCTTCTTCTGAAGTCTCTCTTGCACTCTCCACACTTAGTTTTCGAGTTCCCCTACTTACCTATTTACCTTTCTTTTTTTTCTCATTCACCTCCAGTAACTACATACTCATGTCTTCCAGAGTCACACGCTCCTCTGCGCGAAACGCAGCGAGTCAAGGGGCATCGCAGGGAGATCTTAATTCTCCTCAAGCTTCTGTTGGCCATTCGCCTGCAACCGCCGGAAATACTACAAATACGAACCAATCCGCTCAATCTTCATCGAGACCGGCGTCCTCGCGAAAGAGAAAACCGACATCGGGTGAGAACAGCTCGCCAACCCAACCTCCACCGAGCGAGCCAGCTGTATCGGCTCGTCGATCTAAGAGGCAGAAAGTTTCAGAGCAAGCTCCACAACCTCCGGCTGTACCTACACCTGTTCCCGCTACACGTAAGCGGAAAGGGAAGAATACGGCTTCTATGTCTAGTCCAGCAGGGTATGTTTCGCAAAAGCGCCACAGTGCTATCTTGAATGCATAATTGATATTAATATTTTGCCCGCTGCAGTTCTGACCCACCCCCACCCGCCAGGATGCAGGACTCTACCAATTTAACTTCAGCCTCGTCAAGCCGCAAGTCGAGTCGCAATAAGAAGAATACCCAGGCAGCCCAAGGTATGCAATAATTCTACTATTATACCAATGCATTTAATTCTGTACTAAATTTATGAATAGAATCTCCTG